CATTAATCTAAATATTTTACCATGTAATTTCCAAAAATAGGAAGTTTCCCACAATTGCATTTTTGTTTCTATATGGCCAAATCCTACTTTTTCTCTTAATATTTCCTGCACTTATCACATACTACTTGTGGCATGTAATCCATAAATGTTGATAAGAAATATGCTAATTATGTCAAAGTAATTGATAATTTTTAGCAATTTTTACTTACAGCTGCTCAATGATATAAGTATCTTGTATTAGTTATCTAATATTAGTTGCTACAAATAATGAACCACTAGAAAACTTAGCAGATTAAAACAACAGATGTTTATTATTTGACAGTTCTGAGATTGAGAAATCTGAGATGGTTAGTTGAGTGGTTCCCATGAAGTTGCAAACTATTGGCTTGAGCTGCAATTTAAAAGTTTGAGTGGGGTTGGAGGATCCATTTCCACTCGTGGCTCTTATCAGGAGACTTCAGTTTCTTGCCAGGCAGCCTCTCGATGGGGCTGCCCATTCATGGCAACTGGCTTTCCCAAGAATGAGTGATCCAATAGAAAGGCGGGGGCGGGGGAGCAGAGAGAGACAGAGACAGACAGACAGATAGACAGACAGAGAGACAGGAAGGTAAGGGAGAGAGGGACAAAAGAAGAATGGGGAGAAATGCACCAAGATGGAAGCCATAGTCTTTTATAACATAAATCTTGGAAATGGAATCCCATCCTTCCGCTGTATTCTATTGGTAGCAAAGACCAACAATAGTACAATGTGGGAGGGAATTACACAAGGGTGTGAAAACCAGGAGGTAGGGATCATTGTGGGCTATCTTAGAGGCTGTCAAGATCTTATTTTACCAGAAGAAAGAGGCTCTTTCCTTATTACATTTAGAGGTTCGTAATAAAGCACTGGAATTAGACCTATTTCTTCATTTGTAAAAAGCATGAAAATAGTCATAATTTTATCAGTGCAAATGCAGAAAGTATTTCCCAACAGGTGTTACATATTAAATTATGTATCATTCCAAGCTAAATCCAAAACACAGAATATAGATTTAAAACTAATCATTGGTTAAAAAAAAAAATACCAATGAGTCAATTAAGTGGTACAGATAAATTTAGAAGGTGAGGCTTAGTGTCTGGTAGGAAAAACATAAAGTTTTTAAATACAGCTCAAATAAAAAATAACCTTGCAAGTGTTTTAGTAGTAAAAGTTTTGTTAAGAGAAATGTAGTCCTCCTACTGAAACATATGGTCATAATTCCAACAGTGGATTTTCTTTTTGCCTTTTTGCAGTAAGACACTTTTATCAATCACTGAGTAAAAATGTTTGAGAAGCAATGAAACCTTTAAGATTGTAAATATAAACCACATAACTCAAAGTAATTGAAGAGTAATTGATATTGTGTTCTTCAATGTAAACATGCTACGTTTTTATAAAAAATAAAGGGAAGAAAAATATATAGTATATATTTGTATTTGCTGCTACTGCACCTAAACCATGGGAAGATACACAAGAAACTAATAAAAATGATTACTTGTCGAGATTGAATGGGAAGAACAAAGTAGATGTGTACAAGGTGGGAGGTAAAATTAACTCTGTTAAGTTTTTAATATTTTTTTCTGATATTTGAATCATGTATATATATTAAATATATGAAACTCTTTTTAATCACGAAGAAGAAAATTAAAACCTAGGATGGCTTGGAAGTTTCTGATTTAAGATACTATCTTTTAAATTTTGAGTCAATTTATCAAAGTTATGCTTGCTATTAAAAAAAGATGTTCTGTTATTTACAAAATACCTAAATCCAGTCTGTTATAAACTTAGGCAATTGAGACACCACAGTCAGACTACTACTTTTTTTTTTTTTAAGACAGTTTAAATAATATATTCAAGATCATGCAGTTACTAAATGATGGAATTGGTGTTCAATCTCAGGTTTTATGTCTGCAAAGCCTGTATTTTTCCTTGCCTTTTCCTGAAGGTATTATTTTCCAAACTTGGTCTTTGATATATGTGTTTCTCTTTATCTGCATTGACCCTTCCCAGTTCCTTTTCAAGAAAGAGAACTCTTCCCAGGGGTAATGAAGGCAGTCCTCACTGGCTCTGCTTTTCCTTTCCAAAGCCACTTCTCAACAGCTTCTTTGAACTCTCATGAGTGCTTCAGATATATCTTCTATTTTTCCTCCTAACCATACTGGAGCTGGATTTGTGAGCCCTTGGAAAACTCCATACACACTCTTCCTGACCAATGGATCAGGAAGTTAAGATTTTACCACAATAAGAGGCTTCTTATTTGGATACCCTCTCAGATGTCCATCCCACAGAGTAAACTCAAGGATCTATAACTTGTAGTCCCCTTACTCTTTCCTCAGAGCATAGCTCTATGAACTGTGTGCCTCATTATCGAACACTTAGATGCTGCCTGTGGAGATTTTCCTCCTGTGGAAATTTTCTTGACCAGAATATACACTTGCCTCACCTGTGCCCTTGCAGGTGTCTTGCTGTCCTGTCCTATGGTTATACTTTGATGATTTGTCTCTCTCCAGACTAATATCCTTCAATTCACCATTATCTTTGGGATAATGTCTAACCTCTTACAAATAACATGCCAATGTTATTTGCAAACTAGATTCATTGTTTTCTCAGTTGATCTTTTACTCCCACTTTCTCTTCTACTCCTTGCTTTAGCTTTCCCTGCTTCAAATATGTCAACTACTCACCCATGCTTTCTTGCTTGCTTGCTTTTGATTTTCTAGGCTACTACTTTTATAGTTAAATTTTTGGTAAAATATTCACACAAAACAGAAGACTCTAAAGTAAATTGCCCTAAAAAGGAAAGTTTGGTCTTTTTACACATTACTACTTTTCAGATTTTCAACTCTTGCCTAGACAAGTTTAATGCCCACTATCTAACAGATTCTCAGGCTGCCTTCTCATTACTGGTATGGCTATCCTCCTGGGTTGTTTTCCAACTACCTAGTCAAGATCCATATCTCTATTATAGCAATTACTTTTACTTTGTTAATGATCTGCTTCACATAATCAGCTCTGAGAGAGAAAGAACTATTTTATTCATCTTGCAACCAGTGAAGGCTAATAAAGTGCTCTGCATATGGCAAATATATAGACACAAAGTTTGTTGGATGGCTACAGAAAACAATGAGTTAGATTTTACTTCATGTTTCAAAATTCAGAGAGAGTAGTATTAAAAGGCATGAAAGCAAAAACAGATCATTGCAGAAGTGAGTATAAAGAACCATTGTATTTTTTCAGCTTTAAAAAATTAAAATTTCAAATTAAGTACCAATGTGAAGAACATGATCAAATAAGTAACAAATGCATTCAGAAACATACATCTACAAAGAATACTTTAAAATGTGCCTCCAAAGGCACATCATTCCAATTTTTATTAAATGTAGAGATTTTTTGAAAACAAATCCAAAGCTATCCCATCATGGAAAGTGCCTTCCACTGTTTGGTTATTTTAAGGTAAGTTCTTATTCATAGATTGTGCAATAATTTATGTTGCAAAATAAACATACTATATAAAAACATAAATTGTGTTTGATATATAATTGTTTTTACCTTATACTGTTTCAATAAATTTCATAAGTTATTACCTTTTGCCACTTTATTTAATATCTGTAACATTTTACATTGTTTATGAAGGAGCTTCTTCCAGAAGACTGATATTCTCCTACATACTGTGTCTTTGGCTAGTACTATAGATGTGATTCAAGAGGAACCATATGACCAATCTGATTAAAATTCCTAGTCTCTCCTAGCCTGAGACCTTAGTTCCTGAGTTATAACCCTATGTGGTCTTCAACTGAGTTGCTTCATATTTTTCTTAAAACAGGGCTATTTAGTATAATTTCTTTTTCTTGAGATATACAAGTGTTTTTGATACAAAAACATATATTCCACATAAGAATAAAGCATCAAAATAATGATATTTTATATAACTTAAATGACAGGACTAAAATATGCCCATTTCATACTTTTCTTATTTTGCTCTGTGAAGTAAAGAGGAAAGCTCTGTAACAGTTTTAAATACATAGAATTTAACTTATGTTAATATTCTGTTATAAAAAAATAACTACCATATAAAGAATTTAAAATATGCAAAAGTAATTAGTTCATTAAAATCTGTATTTAAAACATTCGTGCCAATGAAAATATGTAGACTTGCCAAGAAACTTTAAAGGTTTAAAAGTAAAAAAAAAACAAAAACAAAACAAAACAAAAAAAACAACCTGTTTCAGGCTTCATTTATTGCTACATAATGACTATTTCGAGGGTCACCTGGCCTGTCGTCAATCACTCTTAGAAGTGGTAAATACAGTGGTATACTTTGGAAAGAAAGGAGAAAAACTAATGCACTGCAATATAAAAATATTACCCATTTATAAATTATTAAAGATTTATAAAACACATACCGAATCACATTCTTGCTATAAAAACATAAATATAGAAGCACAAAATCCTGAAGCACCCACAATTATTTTAAGAATACCTATTTAATCAAGAAAAAACCATATATGTGTGTGTGTATACAGATATATACACACATATATATATATAATTTGAGAAGAAAGAAGACAAAATTCTGATTTTAATCCAAACAGTTTATCTAGTCATGGAGGTAGGTCACCACTCCAATTACACAAATAAGTTATCTGCCTTATTCAAACAATTATATTAAGTCTAAGATCTGGAAACTGGTCTATGCCATTGAAATACATTTTTAATAGACTTTAGAAACCAGTAATCTAACTGGCATATACAGAAAACAGTTATTTCCCTTATGAGGTTACATCTGAAAAGAGCCTTCATTAAAATTGATCTTGGAATAAAGAGGTATACCTAAGTGCAGATACTTTGGCATAGCATTTGAATAACACAGGAAATGCTACAAATTTTTTAAAGACAGAAGAAATCCTTGTCTTTTTAGTATTTGTATTAAGTGTAAAGCTTCAAAAACTGGATCTCTTCAATTTTCAGAGATTTAAATTGTGCTAATGATTTAAAAAGATCATTCCTGACTAAAAAGCAAAGCTTATGTGTTTCAAACATCAAACATAATTACTTTTAGTGTTTGTGGCATTTCAGGTTTAGTGCTAGAGTTAGTTTTAACAAATCAGTTTGCAATATGTAATTTGACTCACTAAAATCTTTTCACTAAAAAAGATTTTCTATAATGAAAAACACTAATTCTATTTCTAATGGTAAACTAGTAGAGTTGGAGGTCCCACCATGGATCACAGGGATTAGAGCACTATCAAGGTCATTTAGATAATGCTGAGGAAGTAGTCGGCCTTCAGATCCTGCCTGAAATTCAACCTGAAAAAAAAAAAATCTGGATAAGTCAACCCTAGAAAATGAGCAATCTTGTTTAGCTCATGTAAAATAAACTAAAAATATTCAGTTTAAGAATGTTAAGAAAATTCTTGAATTTTATTCATAAAATCTTATATTCTCATATTTCTTTTATCCATCTACTACATAAATTGTAATTTTCTTTCTCACAAATGTTATAAAAATAAAAAAAAATTGTTAGTAATTCGTTCTTTAGGTTTCTTCTCAATGAACACGTGAACATATTGGAGGACTACCAACATGACTTAAATAAAAACCCCATGGTATTAAAGAAAAGTAATCAACTTTAAAATATTTTGTATTTGTTGTTTCAATATTCAACATTTGAATTTAATGTTGCTGGTGAAAAGTACATTTTAATACATTTGACTAAAAACATATTAAGAGTGTCTACTCAAATAAATAATTATTGAAAAAGGAAATTTTAACAGTGAGATGAAAATATAAGTTCTTTCCAATAAAAACTATGAATGTAACACATCCTGGCTGAAGAAAAGCAAATTAGCATATGAACTCTTTCATATGAGATAAACCATTATAATGAAGAACCTGCTTTGAAAACTATTATACTGGAAACAGAAATGCACATTAAAATAATACTAGAGTACCATTTTCCACCTATCAGATTGGCAAAGTTCAAAAGTTTGATTACATACTACTTTGATAAGGATGTGGGGGGAAGGAATGATCTCATAAATTGTGATAGAAACATAAATTGGCATAACCTCTACTTCAGACATGGTAATACCTATTGAGTACATACTTGGACCTGACAATTCTACTCTAGGAATGTTTCTTATATACTCATACTTATGCAAAAAGAAAATATTGTTGATAACCTAAGTGTCAATCTGTAAATACCGAACATGCATAAGAATTAGTTAAATTACGATATATTTATATATAAACTACTACTATGCCACTGTTAAAAAGAATATGTAATAACATGAAATATCTCTAAAGTACATTAAGTTAAAAAAGGTAAAAAAAAAAAAAGCTATGTAAAGGAGGAATGAAAAGGACATACATACTTATTTGCATGCATAAAATCACAAAGAATATGTAGAAATGGGTAACATTTGATTGCCTAACCAGAAAGGAAGAATGAGAGGGAGTATGGAGGTGGACACTAGAGTTTGGAGATAAGAACAGGAAGGAGATCTTTCCAAATCTATTACCTTATACAACTCTACTGGGCACCATTTACATTGTAGCCTGGAGTTAAGGGGCCAGTTACATAGGCTACAGCGTGAATGATGCTCTCTAGAAATGTTCAATGAGGTGATCCTGTTACATAAATACTTCGACTTTTGTAATTTTAAATCAATCACCTGACTATAGTATCTATTCAGAATAATAAATTTTAAAACCTACTTATCAAGCAGGATTGTTGTGGAGCAGGGGTTAGCAAACTATGGCCTGAGAGCCAACCTGGCCCACCGTTTTTATAAACAAAGTTTCAATGGAACACAGCCCAGCTTGTTAAGTTTACATACTGTTTATGGCTGCTTTTGCACTATAATGACAGAGTTGAGCAGTTGTGAAATAAATCACACAGCCCATAATGCCTAAAATGCCTAAAATATTTAGTGTCTAGCCTTTTACAAAAAAAAAAGCTTGCTGACTTGCTGTGGAGGGTAAAGGAGATAATGTACATGAAGTGTACACACACTGATGTTCAACAAATTTTAGTTGTCTTCATCTCAAAATAAAAAGTTAAAGAAAAAGCTTTTAATTATTTTATGATACAATCATTTAAAAAATACATCACAAAAACATGCCTCACCATATCAGTGTCAATGGAAACTCTTAGGCCAATTTTATTCATCCCATTACTCTTTAGAGTTTTCAGATGAGGGCACAGTGCAGCACTACATGCCATGGCTATTTCTTTTGCAAATTGATAACGAGTTGCTGAAACAAATAAATCCTGGTCCTTTAGAAAGTAGAAGACCTGAAATATATTTAATTAGGAAACAAGTCATAATTAAAAGTATCTTTAAAAATGCAACAATTGCTACTTTCAATTTAGCTTTATTAATAAAATTCCAATGTTA